AGGGTCCTCCTGGACTGCATCCTCCTCTGGTGTAAGGCTTCTCGCTGCTGGGGTGTTCGCATGTTGGCGTTCTGCATGATCGATCAAGGACCACAGGGCCATGCGACCATCACCACATCCGGATCCACCTCCTGCAGGTACCGGAATGCCTTTTCCTGCACGCCGGGGCTCTCCAGATCCCAACCAGAATCCAGCGTCACCGGCTCATACGTGCTCCACCCCTTATCGCATGCCACCTGAGTCAAGGCACACGTCCAGGTGAAGATCTCCAGGATCCGCCAAGGTCCCGGTCGCCGCCGGCTCATCTTCTCCCTTGGAATCTTCTTGTGGGCTTCCTTCTCCGCCACCTCCGACACCTTCTGCACCGCATCCAGCAAGCGACGGCGCTGTCCTTTGTTAAGGATCTCCGTATCGCCGGGCAGATCGGCCCCCAGCACATTGGCTTCTTCCTGGGATCCTTCTGAGTCCGTCTCTCCATCACTTGGCTCGTCTGGGCCATCCTCGTGGCTTGTCTCCGATTCTCCCTCACTGATGGAGCCATCACTCGCGGACTCATCCTCTGGCGCTGCCAGAGCCAGCAGGGATTCACCTTCCTGCTGTGCTAGCACATGATCCAGGCACATGATGGCTTCATCCTCCATGGTCTCTTGCCACATGGCCAGGTCATGGCATTCATCGGGATCTGCCGGCGCTGCCAGCTCCTCCTCTTCTGTTGTGTCCCCCGTCTCCTCGGGCCCTTGCTGTAGGAGCGCCAAGCTGTATGGATCCTTAAGCAGTGTCTCCTTCAATGCCGTCATCTCTGGTGTGAGCCAGGCTTCAGCCGGACCTTCCGGCAACACGCGAAGCACTGGATGACGGGTGTCTGACAATTGAGTCTCGGCCACATGGCCAGCGATCTCAGTCACACCTGCGTTGAAGTTCATGGAGACCCGCCATCGAGCCATTTCACTCGGACCAACCAAAGCTGGACATTGCTCCACACGGTGATCAGAGGCTGTATTGCAAACCTCCGCCAACCGGAGCCAGGTGACCTCACCACTGTCACCAAGACGGATCGGGTACACATAGGCCGTGGTCGAAATGACCGGCTCGCCAGCTCCGAAGCGGAAAGTCTCATGGTGCTGGACCACGAAGTAGGGCAGTTGCCTCTGCTTCAGCTCCTCCTGGAAGTTGCGATGCCAAATGGCACCTACTACCGCCGTCCGACACCCCGTGTCGAGGATCACTTGCATGGCGCCGCCACGCAACAACCAGGTGGGCTCTGCCTCCTCCTCGTCCATCATCAATGCGCCATGCTCCATACTGTAGTAGAGCACCTTCCGCAAGTGGCATTTCCTGCAGGTTGCCCAGTGAGCTGCTTGGTTCGCTCCCCACCGGAGGTCCGCCCAAGCGTGAGGGCATGCTGCCTGCTCTGCCGTCGGAACCTCGGATGCGTCCGATGGCCGGACACGTCCACGCCTGTCCAAGCTATTCTGGTAAAGGCCAATGCGGAACTCCTTCAGTCTCTTCTTCCGAACCGCATCTGGCAGCTTGGACTCCGATTGGGATGCCGGCGGCTCGCCAAGCGATCCCGCACTCGACGACGCTGCCGTCGCTGTTGAAGGTCCTGCAGCTGTGGGCTTCGGCTTGGGCTTGCTCGAATACGTGTAGCCTCCATTGCGATGTCCCGGCCGAGTCAACTTCTCCTGGTCATACTCCGGGATGTGGTCAGCTGCTGTTCCTTCAACCTCCTGCTTCAGGGCTTTGCACAAGGCCTGCTTCTCCACTGGCGACATGTGCGACAGCACTTGGAGAAGCTCCTTCGGGCTCAAATCCAACTCCATGGGCCTGGATTCCGGAGCATGCTTCTTTGGTGACTCCTTGACCTTCCGAAGCCGCGTCTCCTCTTCCCGAGCTGCCTTGTACTCCTTCTTCCGGAGTCGTTGCTGAATCTCCTCGTCATCCTCTTCAGCAATCAGTGCCTCCAGCACAGTCTTCAGAGCCAGCCGATGCTTCTTCACCTTGTCGGCCTTGGCCTTCTCCGGGGTGAGCGGCCCGCTCGAGAACGGGAGCATGTCTTGTGGCTCCTCAGGTTCTTCCTCCTCTTCCTCAGGGGAGTCATAGGCCTCCAAGAGATCCCATCCGTCAGCTGAGAACACAGGGAAGGTCCAGTTCACCCGATGAACTCGTGCACTTCCTTCCGTCTTGACGGATGCCGGAGAACCTTCTGCTGAGGTGAAGTTCACCTGCGTGCCACCAGTCCCCGGCTGACGGGGCGGGTCCTTCCCATTCTTGACATTGGGGCACTCGGCGTCGCCGTGCCAGTGGCCGTACTGCTTGCACGAAGCACACTGGCTTTTCTTCTTCCTTTCATCCGTGCTCCGGCGATCACCCTTGCCCTTTCCTTTGGAACTGCCATCCTTGTTCGAGTGGTAGCCTCGGGCCTTCCGCTGATCTGCTGACTTCTGCTTCGCCCTCCATCCAGAGGCATATGCTTCCTTCAGATCGTCCACGTCAGCCAGATCCTCTTCTTCATCTTCTTCCACTGAGAAGTGCCCCCCATCGTCCTGCTCCTCTTCCTGCCAGAGGGCCTCCTGCTCCAGGTCCTCCTCATCCGCGTCGTCCTCCTCTTCCTCGTAGGAATAGGGTTCATCTTGCGTATTGGGCTCGACTGGCTCTGCCAGATGGGATGAGTGCTGACTGGACCTATAGGGCTTCCGATCTCCACCTCGCCGAGGTTGGAATTGCTTCTTCCGTGGAATAGGGGCGCGGCCCTTCTCATCCAGGATCCTGTAGCTGCTTCTGTCTCCTGTGGATGTCTTCTTCTCCTCCGTGTGCAGATTGCTGCAGCGAAACCTCATCACCTGCTCGATCTTGCTGCTGTTGTACTTGCTACCGCTGGAGAAGAAGATGTCCATCCTCTCGCGGCGTGTCAAAGCCGCCCGAGACAGGAGCCTCTGGGCAAAGGACTTGTCAGAGATCGTGGTCTCCGTGTCCTCCTTGAGGTATTCACCTCGAAGCCTCTTCAAGGTCGAGATGTAGGCCGCGATGCTCTGGCCAGGTGCCCTCCTGTATGCCAGATCCTCCTCTTGCTTCCGTTCGAAGCGTTCCTCGGATCTGGCGCCGAAGGACTCCTCGAGGAACCGCATGATCCGGCCTAAGCCTCCAGGCTCTTGCATCTCGCTAACTTCAAGTTGATTCAGGATTTGGCGCGGCTCTCCCTGGCAACTGAGATAGATGAGCATGGCCAATTCCGCATCCTCCAACTTGTAGAGATTCCTTTGGGCCTCGATGATGCGCTTCCAGTCGCGGTAGTGCGATCGGTTTCCCCTGAAGGTCTCGATGCGCACCTGGGACAGCGAAGGCTTGGAGTGATCGCCCGGCTTCCGCTCCTTCTGGAGGAGCATCTCCCGAATCTCCGAAGTTCGGGCAGCCGAGCTTGTCTCAGAGCCTTCCGAAGCTACCCTTCCTCCTCGGCGTCGCCGCGCCTTGGGCTTCGGATCTAGCCTTGCGGCCGGGCGTGCCTCCTCGGGTGCAGCTGGTCTCAACTCACCCTGCTCTTGCTGTCTTGGCCTCTATTTGGCCTTCGCCTTGCCCTTGGCAGCCGCTCCGAGGGCTGAAGCGCTCCTCTCACTAGGCTCAACGATCGGGTCATTCGTTGGCCTCGATTCCTCCGGGCCAACCTCAGCCTCTTCCTCCTCCTCTTCCTCACCAGGAGGAGTCGTAGTCGCCCGACTCATTGCTATCTCCTGGCGGTGGTGGATTCACCCTCTGCTTCTTCTTTGGTTGTACTTGTGGAACCGGGGTTGATGAAGTCCCGCCGGAACCTCCACCACCCGGATTGGCTTTTGCCTGTGATGCAACTACCGCCTTCGGCGGAGGAGCTTGCGGCTCAGCCGGCCTTGCAGTTCGAGACACACATGGGGTAATTGATCCCAGCGTCCATGCATGGCCACTCCAGTACTTCCAGCTGCCATCCGGTTGTCCGTACCAGCCTTCCAGAGTTGGATACATCGGTTGTTGCATCTGCTGGAACTGCATCTGTTGTTACAATTGCTGGGCCTATAGCTGTTGCTACTGTGCCATAAACTACTACTGATAAGCGCGGAGGGCATTCTGCACGGCCTGGTTGTTCATGTCTTACATATCCATTTCCTTATGCTTACCTTTACCCTAATGCTCCGCCGGCTCGTAGTTCCAGGAATTCTTCCCTTTCTGTTAGCATTCATCGCCCTTCCTAAATACAAACCGTCCTTTAGACTTGCCCTTTCGAGAACCACCTTTGCTATTAAAACCGCCCTTATCACGCTTGCCTTTGTTTTTGGAGGCGCTGCCCCATCGAATCCCCTGCGAACTCTACTCTCAGCTCGCTACCATCGGAGTGGGATAGGCGAGCTTCGCCATCATCCTCGGAGGTTTTCCAATCTGGTACCTCCGGGCCATCCGCCATGGCCCTCAACGGTCGCTAAAAGCGAAACCGAAATAATAAGTGGGAATTTGCGCGAATACTCGCACAACGTGGAAAAATGCGCAGCGTGCAACACCTTTTTGCGCTACAAGTGAAAGCTATGTTTAGGCCAAGCTACGAGCGAAACAGATCAAAACATATCATTTCAATTCTAATCCAATTACAAACATACAATAAACAATCATATTTTCGCGAATCTTAAATTTATATTCACGAACGCAAAGCCCACGATCATATCATCCAAAATTCTCGATATTAAAAACCCTTACAAAATCCTTTTCAATAATTATCATATATTAAAATTATATAATTAATATATACAAAAATAAAAGAACATAATTATATTAAATAAATATCGAATCGAATATATATATATTAATAAAATATAATCACAATTAATATATTTAATAAATTATTTATTAATTTAATCGTTATAAATTTAATTTATAATTCCTTCATATAATTCATACGAATTACTAATATCATCATAGAATGAATCAATACGAATAATCAATATGAATCGATGTGATTTGAAGTAAATCGGTAAATTTGTCAATATTGGATTTAATATGGTTCTATGTATTTTAATTGAATTTTCTGTGATGTTTTTTTTTTTTTTCATTTGGCATTATTCCAATGATTGTTATGTGTGTGGTGCCTATCTTCGACGTTGATCCTTTCTAATCCTCCTTCACATTTGTTGATGGGGAATGGAATTGTCCAGATCTTGTCGTTCGGCATTGTTGATCTCTTCAATTCTCCATTACGCAGCTCAGGACAAACATGACGGCGTTCAGACTTGCGCAGCGAGGTGAAGAAGTGGCTTTCATGGTCTTTGTGTCAATTTGCATCAAATCCTCTCCCCAATCAGAACCAAATTCCTGCAGGGGCAGGCATGGGCTTCTTACAAAAACATCAATGCCTTCAAAACAATGAGAAGTTGGGAACTCATCACTAGTCCTGAAGGAATATTCTTGGGAGAAAGCTGCTAGCTTGCAAGTGATCCTCTGTTGACACTTTCTGTTTGTAGCCCATAAACGCAGGGTTGCAATCAAATTGAGAGCACGCCAAGACACATCCCTGCGGTCAATTTCCGCAAGTCTTCGAAGGATTTGGCTACCAGTCTCTGTGGTCTCTCGTTTCGTGATCTCAGTGCCTTGTGTTGTAGACTGTGAGTCTTCAATAGCGCGTGCGGGGCATTGGTTCTTTTCATTCTCCACAACCTTCCCCAGGACACCGAAATCACACAATGATGACCAGCCATCCCTCGGTTCCAAGCCCTCGTGCTTCAAATGACAACAGGGGCAAACCATAAATGGGATCTGCCTGCAACTTGCAAAATTCAAGGCAGCATCACTTAATCCACCACAAGCATGCAAAGCCACAACAAAATCAATATCAGCAGGAAGCTGCTCTGCTGCAGTGGCGAAGTCCATGTTGCAAAATCTGATGTCAATATGACGCTTTGAGGCAGCTGCTTGGCCAACTTTGAGGGAACTCTCGTTGGAGTCTACAACTGTCACTTTCACTCCATCGAATGTTGAGGCAATGTGGATTGCTAAGTCTCCACGACCGCCTCCGACATCAAGAACATGGCTGAAGTTGCACCTTCTGCGGCAGGCGCTCAAGCGACCCAAGAACCACCAGATTTGTGGCCATTTTTTACCGTGAAAATATTCAGACCTTGAGAGTGCACCCCGAGCGCTCGAGGCATCAGGCAAATCTGCAGAAAGGCTTGGAATATCAGGGACATCACTCTGTGGGGTCCATGAATCAGACACAACCTCATAGAGGTTTTTCAACGACTCTTCCATGCAGTCCAAAAACTGCATGTCAACTTTGCTTACCTTGGCCTTTCTCTGTCGCGCGCTTGGCGGAGCTGAGATCTGTCCATCTACTTCCATACCTCCGGTCATAAGAAATACCAGTTGCCGTAGTTCTCTCTTGTATTCAGGGTCGCCTTTGTCCTTTTGGTGCAACTGCTTCAAGTGTAGCAGCCTGTCTGAGCTGCAGCAAAGCAGTCTCGAACCAACATCCTCTGGTAGCACGCTGATTGCTACCGCCTCGACGACTTTTGTAATTTGCTTCACATCGGGCGGGATTTTCAGGAGCTGTAGTTCTGTTGCATAAATGGATAAAGATCCTGACCAAAGCAGTCAACGTTCAGCAACTCAACAGAGACAGCTGGCCTTTGAATTGATGCTGGCCGGTTTGCCGAACGATGAACAAGGGCTCTCAACATCTCTCAAATATCGTCCTGCACGGTCACATCCCGGGCATCCTTCGCACCAAACTGAACATCCAAGACCCACAGGCAACTGTGACAAACCTCACGGGCCAGGAGACAACCTCAACTTCTCAGTCTCCTAATGCGCGAAACCATCTTCACTGAATGACTCGACTTAGGGCATTTAGGCAAAGTACGGGCATAATCGCTACCTATTAATGGAAGGGGAGCCTTAAAACATGTAAGTTACATTTTCCCCAGGGGGTCCTGGTTTGACACGTAGAAATTGTAAAGCTTACATTTTTGAACATATATGTAGAAAGTGTAAGCCTACAATTTGTGAAATTGACGTGGAACATGTAAGCCTTACATTTTGAGTCTCGAATTCACGAATACTCTCGTTGTGTCACGTTTCTTCCACAGTATGTCTGCACAAAGCTGAAAGTCTGTGCCATCAAAAAAAATTGCTACAAACACCCTTCCTTCCAGGAATCACAGAAACTGCCAGCCCACATCACCCCCCCCAAAAAAAAGACTTAAGCTTCCACCGGTCAATCCCTGGGAAAGCCACCGGCCACCGGTGCAGTAGGGGGGTCCAACATACATTTGTGGGGTCCCTCCTAAATGTAAGTTATATACTTTTTTAAAGGTCCCCCCTCAAAACCCAAGACAAGGGGGTGGCGATTGAGCATGTACAATGTACAGGCCGCGTTTGATGCGAGACATCGGTAAATAACAAAAAGGCTGATTTGGAATTAGTTGGTTGAATCAAGTTGCTTCAACCCCAGCCATGCTCTCTTAGTGTCCCAACATTGAGCAAAGCAGAATTTGCTCAGGTCTTACAGTTGCTTTCGTAAACCTTGCAACTGGGTCATGTAAAATCCAGCCCTGTGGAACTACCGGTGTTGAATGAATGTCGAGAATCGATTCTATATACAGTTACAAAACGAAAACCCAACCTCAAAGGGCAGTTTGCCCCGCTATAGAATCATATATCAACCTCCTGCAGTGCTGAGAACCTGTTCTCTATAAAATGGTTCAGCTCAACCTGATGGCCAAAGAATCTTGATTGCAAACTTTGGGAAGTCAATGATGCAAAGCCAAGCTTGAAATTGATTCTATAGAGAAGTGGGGGACTTATGACGGTTGAAATTGATTTTAGCAACTGATTGGACAAAAGTGGCCCAAGAGGCTGGTTTTGATTAAAAACCATGTTTGGCCACTGCAGGGTTGAAATCGATTTTGGAAGAAGGTTAAGCAACCATGCAAAAAATCAGTCAATGTTAAACACATGATTTTATAGAGGGGTGATTGGACAATTGAAATCCAGAATGCTTTCTATAAATATCAAAAACTCTAGAACCTCTATAAAATATGGCGCATTTTCGTGCCTTCTGAATTTCTCTATAACATGGACTAGCTCAACCTATTGGGCATCAGCCAAACTGACCCAGTAGTGGCCCATCTTTTAAGACTAGTTTTTCTTTTTCAGGTAGGTTGAGATCTCATTCTATAGAAAAAGTGTGTATAAAATCTGAGGGTCATGTTGGGCTCGACCTCCCCGATTCTATAGGGTTGATTCAGCAGGGGATCTTATGGCAGCTTTTGGGTTGCTCACGTTGCACCTAGATCAAGGCAAGTCCAGGCACAGGCCGCACCATCTCGAGGGACTGTCAGGACTATCTGTACTTGGAAAGTGCCAACATCGACCATCAAAAACCTAAGCCACAGGCTTCATGGCGCCAGTGGGAAACGCTTTCAGATGGCCAAGAGTCAAGGTTCCAAGAAGCGCCGAAAAGAACGTGAAGCCTGCAAGAACGCCTTGAACACAATGAGCTTGCTCAAAATACTTAGTGTGTGAAGTTGTAGCATGTTGTAGCTTTGCACACTCGGCTTTCACAATCAATTCGTTTGAGGCACGTGGCACTCTCGTGGCGGCGTCCTTGGAACGCGACAACAGCAACACGATGGCCTCCAACCGATGGCGCTTAAACGACATATGTACTGAGTCCTGTTAAATCTTCTTCGAGTTCCATGCTTCGTACTGAGCCAAGAGCTCCTCACTACAACCCCTTGGCACGAAATGCCTGAGGCATAGTCCACCTGCCATCATGTGCAGTGGGCACGAATAGCAAACCCAGCCCCCAGCTGATATCCTTTGCACGACAATGGATGGACATCAAGCCCAACCTCTCCTTCGGAGAGTTTCGACAGCAGCTGCTCTGCCAGAGCTGCATCTAGCATGTTGACTGACTTGTTCAATCTTCTGTGATTGCTGCAATCTGATGATCGTCAGCCCTGAAAATGTCCAGAGACCAGTTCTGAGCTTTACATGTTCTTACAATGATCACAGCACCTCATGAACTGGAGGATCCAGGATCCCGATTTCATTGGGTTGTCATCAGTGCTGAACATGACTATCATAATGCTCTCTCACTGCTCTGTTCTTTGATAGAGCCAAACTTTCTCACACGCTGTCACCAATGCGGACCAAAATGACAATTTATCACAGGACAGGACACCTCACTCCTTGGGCTCTTATTTACGATTACAGTAAACCTAATGGTCCGTGGTACATGTGTCCATTCCCAAGCATTCGCAAACTACTTTCCATTAAACGAAACCGGCTGTTCATATGTTGGAGGCATTGTATGTTGGCTTTCTAGGTTTTTCGATGAGACCAGCAGTTGTCACCTGTTTCGCAGGGGCTCTAACATCATTCATGGGGCCGATGAACAACTTCCAAGTCGAATGTGCATCTCATTCGAAAACCCCCAATGGAGCGTATGCTCTTACCTGCAGTCCAGCCCCAACCTTCTCCTGTATGCTTCCCGGACAGAGCTTTTTCAGGCTCCATGCTAGTCTACATGTCGAGCATTTCACTTAAAACAAGCTACGGGTACATTCAGCCAGCTCTTCAATTCAAGTTGCATCGCAGCAATTCGCTTGTTGCAAAAGCTGGATGACATTGGCAGCTGAGTCACTGTGCCTCAGCAAACGCATTATTATATACTTGTCATGACCGATTGCTTTGTTTTTTGTTGGCAAAGGGAGACTTCATCTCTGCAACACATCAGGTTTCTTTGCCACAAAGGCATCATCCTTTGTGAATCCAAGGCACTCCCAAGGATTTGAGTGATGCCATCAAATCCGTGACAGAAGCTCCCTGCCAACGCGGTTGAAGTTTTGGCTATGCCATTCTGATGCTCACAGCTATGCCTATGCCACTTTACGGCCTGAGTATCGACCACCTCTTCCTTCAAGGCCTCTTGAGCCTGAGATCATGGACTCAAACCATAATCTATTTTACTCAGACTCTGTGCTCACGATTCTACTGACTCCTCAGGTGCCAGCTACGCCTTCGCTGGACTCTTCAACAACAATGCCCCATTCGTTGTCAGGGTGCAACTGGCAGCAAGGGGCTGTCCAGGGGCAACACACCCAAGCCTAAACCTTTGAAGACATGGAACGAAGCAATTGGAAGACACTGAGCACAAATCCGTGCAAAAGTGGCTCGTTTCTACTGACTCATAGAACCTGTATTCATGCACAAAAGAACGAGAGGTTTGTAGCTCAATATTCCGATAATCTGGAAAACGCATGCAAATGCCTCAGCAACTGCAGTATCCTCTGTAGTGGTCTCCTAACAGTGGCTAGCCAGCCAGTCAACAAATCACGGACGGCACGGCAAGGTCTTTCTTTTGGCTGTCTTTGAGTCTTTGTGCTGCAAGATGCTGCAAGCACAGGCCTCTTTCAAACCATAGCGCTGCATCATCTCCTGACAGGATGACTTAAGAAATGCCTGCGGACACTGTTCTTGCAAACCTCTCGTATTCTGTTATTTGCATAAGATCTTTTTTTGAGATCTGACAGCAAGTAGCTGATAGGTGGCTGAGCAAATTGGCTGACCTCCGGCTTCTCTTTCCACTCTGCTTGTCGCAGCCTGACCAAGGACTGCAAGAGACTTGTACATGTCCTTGACACCTCAACTGTCAATGAAATTGCATGCAATTGTCGCAAAGTTGTCATACTGCCTGCAATGACGGTTGCCACATTCAAGGTTTGGAGCCATTCCGTACCTTGTGTTGCGGAAGCTCTCAGCATGATCGCAACAAGCAGGACTTCATGCTTCAAAGAGACGATGGGAAAAAATCGCCCAAGGCATCGTATCCCAGGAAATTTGACACCTCAAGGAAAGCAGCGTCCAATGCCACAAACAACCATCTTTGCAGCATCTGAGTGAGGCACAGTTCCAAATTTCAGCAAGTGTTTCAATGTTGCCTGTGTAACAAAAAAACTCTTTGCGACAAACTCTGGAACCGTGTCGGCTTCCTAGCACTCATAGACTCAACAACGAGTCTTCTCTCAACTGTGCTCTGATTTGCTGCTGGTGGGCTTGTGGGGCCTGGTGCTGTCATCACAACTGTCTGCGCAAGGCTCTGATTGTCTGATTGTGGTACTTCCTTTTGTTGGTCATGATAATGACTTGCAGCAAGTGTGCAGTGATCGTTTTGCCAAACTGATTGCGACTGATCAACAGGACCTTGCCTGGGCCAGCAAACCAGCGGTAATGCCCATCGTTGTTGGCAAGGATGCCGCACAAACACCCTGCACAATGTGTTGCTATATCGCTTCAAGGACTTGCTGGACATGTTCAGACCAAATTAATGCCTCTCGCTTGATGGCATGCTCATCACCACCGCTTGCAACCACGGCAGGGGGAGCACATTCAAAACACGCGTACCTTGCACAGCCAGCAGCGGCGAAGTATCAGCTAGCTTTCAGTCGACCTGTATTAGAGGCTACAGCCTAGCCAGTGCTGGCAGGAGCTATGGTAAGGAGGGTGTCAGGCAGCACATGCCTGCAGATGTTTGTTAACGTCGCATGCCCATACCATACCTGCCAGACCTGGGGTAGACATGGGAGATGGGAAAGGATCGGTAAGGCTTGCAGAAGAGGTTGCTACACAGGTGAACTGTAGCTTCCTGATGCCTACAAGCTACCCAGGCTCTGCGGAGTACGAAAGGAGGATGTGGCAAGAGTTCTAAATGTCTGTTGAAGAACGACAGAATCTGCCCACCTGCCAGGAATCATGGTCTGGATGTGGCCGGAGACCTTGCTTGCTTAGCATGCAGAATGATGCAGAATGCACTGCTTTCCGTACATTTCACCACTTGAGAGGCCAACTGCATTTTCGGAGACCCCAGACTCAAGCCACATCCTCAAAGCACACGGTCACAAAAGCCACGAGAACAAGGGCATCGCTACTAGGAGCAAGGACGCTACTAGTAGCTCCTGGCCTTACTACTAGGAACAAGAAACTACTAGATCTACTAGTAGCTCCTGGCATCGTAACAATTGGATTTTGTGTCCCAGCTGGGTCCGAGGCTGTCCAAGCTCGTTGCAAGCCTGCCACACAACAGCGAACGAGAAGGACAATGCAAAAATGGAAAAGAGACACGAGTAAGCCAGTAAGCCTGATTGATAGTCATGCGGGCAGCATAGTTGTCCACCTCAGCTTGTGATAACAAACAATCATTCTGGGGCCACGGACCCAGTGCATGCTCACGCTTTTGGGGTCAGACACAACTAAGGACAAGGTCCACCCTCTGCTTTTCAAGGCCTCCATGTTCTATTCTTTCCAGCCTTGTGCCGCAAGTCAAACCAATTTATAATCTTTTGTCTTTGCACAAAGGAGATGAACGAAAGAAGGCAAGGGCCCCTTTAACACGGGCCCCCTACCTTCTCCTTTTCACATTGTTTTATTGATTGATTGTGTAACCTGCAAACCAAAATGAAGCCACGTCTGAGACATCGGCAGAATGCCATAGTTTTCTGTTGATGTAATGTTCACGTTAAAAGTCTCAAACCTCACAACAATTCAGAGCAATTGGCAATGCAAGGTACCTCATGGCTACCGATTGTATAAGCTTTAAGGATCCGGCTCGACATCGGGATTGATTGCTTGAAGCCTCGTTAGCACAAACATGAGTGGACTCGGGAGCCTTTAGGACTCTAGGAGTAGGGATACACTTCAGTACTTTCTCAGCTTAGAACGTTTGCAGGGAGGCCTCCACCTTTGAAAGGCCTGTGGACAAGGCTACACTCAACAAGCAATCTCTTATCGGTCAATTGATCAAAGAATGCTACTTTAAGCTTCCCCAACTTGTTTCAAGCAATCTTCCTCCCCAGAACCCTGTTCAGTCAAGGAGTTGAAGGCCTGACTGTTCTGGTCTGTAGAAGAGCCGGTTCATGTTGGCAAGCTCGACCTGCAAGAGGTCTTGCGATTGTCGGGACTGCACCTCTCCTCCAAGCTAGTGCCTCATTACAATGGTGTCTCAGGCAAATCTTTGCACACGTGTCTTGTCTGAAGGCATAAAGGCACAAGTTGATTTGTTTGTTTGAGTACTTTTCTTTGTTCGGACAACTAGCTTCAATATTTTTGTGGAATGGAATTGTCAAAGGAAGGCTGGAATCAGGGGTGGGACATCTGCAGTACCTGTGCGTAGTTGCATGGTATGCACGTGCACCAGGCTCTTCCAACAATTTGATTGGAGGCCGAAGGACAGCGTGCCTTGTCGTAATCAAAAAGGAGTAGCTTCCCTGCAAACAGCACAGCTTATTAAATGTTCAAGAATCCTGGGTCCAAAATCAACCGGCTGAATTTGCTCTGAGCCTATACCACATCGAGTCAACATCTCGGCCACAACAGAACCGACTCCTCCAATGCCTCAAAATCACCAAACAGAAAGCATTCATTCAATATAGCTCAATGCACTATGCCACCAAAGTGAGAATACCAGCTGAGACCTTCACCAACAATCAACACAGAGAATGTACGAATCTTCTCATACTCCTCGACAACACCTGGAAGGAATCATCTAACTCAGGGAATGCAAGGCCATAAGTAAGGAGCAAGCCCATGCGCTTGAGCGCCATTAATCTGCTGTATGGATTGTCCTCAGTGAGGCGTTTGCATTGGATTCAACGGCTTTCAAATTACAAAACAGCTTCCAATGCTGCCAAGGGTGCATCACGAACTTCTGCGCTCATCTCTTTTATCTTTTCCTTGGTGCCAAAAACTTGAACCTGACTCATGACACATTGTCACCGCCCTGGACTGACTCATCCGCACAGGATCCACGCACCCTACCTGGCCCTACCTTTCAGTAATCAAGCACACAGAAACCGCCTACCAGTGGCACAAGCTGAACTCGATGGACTCACATGAATGGAGTATAATAAACCTTCAATGAAGACACCAGTCAGCATGCTCTGGACTTGGCCCAACACTCTAGTGGCCGCCCTCGGCAAAGCAAGGAGATTCGATTCAGTGGTTTCTGATGATCCCTGCAAGTACACTGAACACAGCTGTTGAACATTGTTGGATACAACTGTGGAAACGGCGATGTGCCATTCCTGGGCTTTGGCAGTGAAGTTGCGTGAGGGATGAAACTTGCATCTGGACTCATGGACTCAATATGGGTGCAGGACCTCTTACTAACTTATGTATTGCAAGTGCAGGCCCTAGAAAGGGTCGGGGTCCAATCCTTAAGTTTGGGTAGGTGATCGGCTTGTAATCCAAGACGCCCCATGGCTTCTTCAACATTCCATGGATGTTGTTTGATGTTGTCGGATATTTACTTGAGGAGCTCGAGTAGCGATGGCCTTCAACCTAGAAGCGATGACCTCCAACCTTCAGAAGCGGGAACGAAAGAGAGAATACTTTGCTCATTCCAACACCATCTGCAAGAGAATTATTATTAATGGAGGTGATGGTGTACTCTCTGATGCTTCAGCGCTAGTGTCACCAATAAGACTTGTGTGGAAATGGTCGAACCCTCTGATTCCAACCACTCAATATGATGCTTGCGATGCGTGCGTCCTAAGGTGGGGAAAGGCCCCCGCCTAAATCAAAACGCATCAAAATGCTATCAATTCGCTAAGGAGGGAGTTGGGGGGATCTTTTGTAGTATATCATTTCGGTCCTTTGGAACTAACGAAAACTTCAGCAGACCTCCTTCGGAGCTCGCTTTCGTGACAATATCTCATGCACATGCAGAGTTTGATACAAGTGTCTTTGGCTTCCAGTGCGGGCTTCCAACTTTCTTCTTTTCCTCTTTAACCTTCCTCAGCAAATCTTTGTTATACCGTGGCTGAAGATGAATAGTCCACAGAGCTGAGAGAAAAACTGATTTGCCACGTTTGAATTGGCCTTCCCTGCGGCGCGTGCGGCACCTTTGGCCTCACCTTTGGCCTTGCCTCAACCCATCATTCGCAACAATCAACTGGGAGCACACAGGACACACGTTCAATCATCTTCAATCCGAATCACAAAAAGCAGGCTCTTAGATGGCAACCAGCGGAACGCCACTGCTCAACGTCACCTTCAAGTGGCATTCTTAGCCTAAAGGCCTAAAGTAGTCGATATTATCAGTAATTAACAACTGAATCAGTTGGACTGTTGGATCGCCAAGTTGCTAATTTTCACCGGTTTTGGCGGAGGAGGAATCTCGTGACCTCCTGGCTCAACTGTAGAAAGTGCTTTGCTCCTGGAGTCAAAAACGACGTGTCCTCCTGCCTCCAACAGGTTTCCCTTTCGGTGCACCTTTGGATTCGCCTTTTGGTCTGAGTTGGTACCCATCATAGCTGTCGTAGCCATAGCCTTTTGGCCTCTCAACGCAAAAAAACATTAAAAAACAACTATGATTCTCAGCAGCATGATGCGGTGACGAGTTCTTCGCCTGACACTTTGGCTCATGCGTCCATCAAAGGTGCCGGGCCAGCTAGGTCCCATCGGACCTTTGCCCGGCGGAGAGCCCTTGAAGTGGCCAGGTCCCATGGGAGGACCTTTCGGGCCCTTCGTCGGACCTTTTGGACCCAACATGGGCCCGGTGGGCCCCATGGGCCCCTTTGCATAAGTCCTGGAAGTGCGAATGGAAGTGCGATGCCAGGAGCCCCTAGTAGCGTCCTTGCTCCGAGTAGTAAGGCCAGGAGCCCCTAGTAGCTTCTTGTTCCTAGTAGAGATGCCCTTTGTTCCTAATAGCTTCTTGATTTTAGACACAAATCATCAAATCCTGCCTATGACTGGAGTAGTCATCTCCTTTCCCATAGTCAGCTGGATAGTCGAAATAGCCCTTAGCTAAGCCGGTTCGCAAGCGTTGCTTTGCTAAGGGGTATACTTTCGCGACCCCGCAGGAAACATGGTAAAAAAGAAAAATTCGATTTTTACCGTTTTTACTGCGGATATGGTAGAGAAAAAAGGGGCGCCCCCCCGGTAAAAACGGTAAAAAAAAAACACAATTTCGATGTTTACCGTGTTTACCGCGGATATGGTAGAGAAAAA